AAAAAAAAAACCAAAAATTTCGTGCTGCAAATACTTTAAGATTTCAGCAAATCTAAAAATAAAAAATCCAGTAAAAAACTTTTCACGCTCAAAAATATTTTCTGGCTAAATTTAGATTAAGGCACACTGAATCGAAACAATTTTTTCAAACCAGAGTCATTAGATCAAAGAGCAAACAGTCAATCACTGAAATAACCTCATCAAGAGCATCCTCCAAGTCCTCATCGACTTCAGGAGGAATACCCTGCATAAGAGTTGCCATAGAAGCTAGCAATAAAGGGTAGACAGAGCTAACAATAAGCATAGACAATATCAATGAGCATAAGGGATCAACCCACTTCCAATGGAAATATTGTATGAATAAAGTGCTAATAATTACAAAAACTGAGCCAAGTGTATCAGCCAGTACGTGTAAGAACACACCTATAATAGCGGTAAAGTAAAATCAAGTAATTAAAAAAATTACAAACTAAGTCTTACCTTGCATATTAGCATTGCCACCATGACTGTGACCATGTGACGTTTTACCCTCATGACTATGGCCGTGAGACACCGCACCATGAGAATGGCTTTCTGACCCCCCACCATGACTGTGACCATGCTCAGCACCATGAAATGCATACATCCCAAATAAATTCACTACAAGCCCAGCTACTGCCACCACCTAGAAGTCAAGATAATATAAAAAATAAAATAAAATGAAAACAAATTCACAAACAAACAAAGAAGTTTTAAAAAAGACAAACCATTAATTTATCGGTACTGACATCTGGCGGGTCGTAGAGCCTTTCCAGGGCTTCTAAGAAAATAAAGAAGGCAATGACGATAAGAAAAAGGGCGTTAATAAAACCTAAAAGTCACGTGCTCTTAAAAAATTTCAAGGGGTCTGTGAAGTCATAAAACATTTCAGCAAAAATAAAGAAATATTTCAGCTAATAAAAATATTCCAGCATTCTTTACTCTTCTGTTGCTGACTTGTTTAGGATATAAATCATAAGTGCTCTCAAGCTACACTCTTGGTTTCCAAACAAAATATTTGATTATTCCATGTTCGAGTGAATAAAACAAAGTTTTCAAACTGAAAATAACCTGACAAGACTTCTACTCGGCCATAGCCGTACGAGTAATACCTCGTAGCTGCCCAGCGTGCCATAACGGACGCAACAAGACCCATAACCTGGAATTAAAACTTACAGTTTCATACTCAACTCCTCGAAAATACAATAACAAAAATTAGATATTTAAAATTATACACAGTGAGAAGTACAAATAATACTTCTTGCGAAGCAGACCCACCAATGCTAAACTAATGAGAAAAGTGGAAGTCAATAAAGAAGATAACGAACCAATGCTGAGCAGTCAAAAAGCATGTGAAAACCATCCGAGATTAAACCTAAACTATTCGTCCAGAATCCGTACAAAAATTCAATGCCGCAGAACGACTGAAATAATGCAGAACTGTCAATTAGAAATGAATCTGTTTCACAAAATGAGGATTCAGAAGTAATTTTAATTCAATGTTCTCCTCTCTCTCCCCGAACGAGAAGTAAAGTTACTAGAAGAAAATTACTGGAACATCCCCAGTGCACCTCAAGCAGGAGAAGACAAAGATCAGAGTCGGAAGTTTATCACAATGTTGAAATAATCAACTTATACTTGTGAGGTTTTCTAAACAAAATGTCAATCCGAATACTACATTTTATGTAATAAGAAAGTTCAGAAAAATATAGCTGTTTTTTCAAAACTTAGTGCATGACACCGAATGCCCGAGATAAGGACAGGTAATTAAAAAAATAACTCAGTTTCTCTTGATAAAGAATCCAATTCCACAATTTTAATTTCTGTATAAAAATTATCATTTTCTGAAAGCCGAGGAGGTAACAATCAGGAATGTTGCAACCAAGTATATGAGAAAGAGGCAAAGAAATGCCACGAAGTGGGGATTTATGGTAAACGATAAGTTAGTGTTAACGAAGCCAGTAATGAAAAATCAACTCTATGAATTTGTAGCAATAAAAAGACAAGAAAAAAACAAACGTTTTCTTCTTTTCCTGTCATTATACTTTCCCATCACCGAACTAGTCTGAATCTACCAGTTAACCTGATATCATTGAAAATGAAAAGAAACCGAGTCATATAGATAAAGTTCTAAGATAGTAAGAACCTACAAGATTTGCACAGAGAAACCAAAATATTCTTCTTGAGTCAGAATTAGCAAGGATTTCAGCCAAAGTATCCTTTATAAACAGCGCCATTGACCTGAAAAATAAAGCTGTCGAGAAAGTCAAAAAAGCTGCAATTGAAAGACTCTGAACCAAGCAGCTTTTTTAATAGTTACCTTGATGTTTTTTGAAGAAATGCTTCGCCGTATGTGTAAAGGGGAAGCCCAGTGTCCGAAAGACCAACGTAATGTCCACCTCTCGAACGAGGAACGCTCGACGACGTTAAAGCGAAAGAAGCTGAATATAAAGTCACAAACAAAAAGCACAGATGTTAGCAGCAATTCTTCACCACAATTCACTTGTAAGAAAGCAACGAAGAAATTTTAAATTACCATTCAAATATATAATGATTACTTATCTCTCTCAGCATTACATCAAAAGTAGTGACTAATGGCGAAATACCTATTGTAAAACAGCATAACGTCAAGACAACTCCGCTAGACAATGCGTGAGAACCAATTTCATGATGATCCGGTGTATACCACATCCAAGCCAAGAAGAAAGCGCAACTGAACATTATCACCGGGCACCAACGAGCCGCAGCCATTACAGGATCAGCAACATGCTATAAATGTGAAAACAATATAAATTATTTTGAATAAATTACCGTCTAAAAACACAAATCGGCTACCTGGAAACAAGCAGACTCCGTGTAAAAATCAAAGACCATAACAAAAAGAGCTGCAGTGAACAGGAGCACAAAGAGTGCTAAATACGATTCAATAAAATTCTGCAAAAAAAAAAAGACATGATACATCACCGATAAAATTTAAAGCTTTGCAGTAATGTTGAAATAAACTTAAAAAACTAAAAAAATTAACAAGCTAAACAGACCTTTCCAAAAACGAAAAGAAGAATGGCAATAGGCATTAAAATGAAGCTAGAGCATAGAGTAACCAAGGAGTACAACCGCTTCGGTCCTCCAATTTCTACTGCCAAATGACGAAATGAGGAATCATATCCCATTTTGATAAAAACGGCTACAGCTAGAAGCAGAACTCCTCCCTTAAATTTTTACCAATATAAAGAACAAAAATGATAGACAACTTCTTGGGAATAATTCTAATCTCAAGATGCGTTCCTAAGAAATTACGTACCTTATGATCTGAGACTCCCGACCAGTGAATTGCATGATAAAAAAGATGGTTCAACACACTCTGATGACTATGCGCTGTTTCTGTAAGCAAAGCAAATTTCTCAGTGAAAAAAACTACAAAAATTATGCCAAAATTTTTGGACTCGTAAATACAATGCCAGAATTTCAAAAGCATTTTCAAGATCTCATCACTGATGCCTTCGTTGATCTTACTTTATAGTAGCAAAATTTTAAAGAAAAAGTTATTAAATATTGAAAGAGGATGAAATATCTAACGATGATGAGTTTCAACAGTTGCATCACTATCCATAAGAATCAGCGACAGAAATCCTATGAATAACGCAAGCGTTCCTCGAGTTTTTGAAGGTCCGTTACCTCCGTTCAACACCGTCATTAACGCTACCAGAACAATTGCAGGACTTTGCTCAAAAACCAAAACTGACCTTCAATACAGAAAACTTTTCAAAAATTTGTTGAGAAGACTCTACTCATCCTGAACGTTTTATCTAGACCCTGAAGAATGGAAAAGCCAAAAATATAAAAATCTAAACTAAAAAGACGTAAAAAGAAATCCAAAGTACCTTAATGGGCCACAAAAAGTGATGCCGTAAAACCATATAATTTCAATTAAGCAATTGAATAACGAAAGCTGAAGAATTCTCACATGCTAAAACCAAATAATTAAAAAAGACATTTTGAAAAATAAGGGATACAGAAAGCATCTGAGAAAAATATAAAAAGATGAACAAAAATTTGTATTTGACTGTAGCCTATCACCTCAGTTACCTTTCGTAAAAAGTGGTTCCTAAACAGAAAATTTGAGGTAGAAACTTACTAAAGACTTCCTCAGCGACTTCCCGTGCAAAAAAGGCTTTTGAACAGGAACGAGAATAAAAGAAGCGCTGAAATAACACTTAATTTCATTACAAAACAATCTAATAAATATTAAGAAAGCGTTTTTCAAACTTACATCAACTTTATAAGCCATAATAAGCTAATTACGTGGATTTGTTTAGCCAAAATATCAATCATAAAGATTCCAATACATCGTAAAAATTTGACTAAGACTAACAGTCCAAAATACCAGGCAGACCTGTAAAAAAGTAAAAAGACAGAGAATGTTTTAAATGCTCAAAATTTTGAAAATTTACATAATTTTTTGGCAATAAAGCAATAATCGATTTACTGTACCTTAAACTCTAGATGCTTAAATGGTTCTTTCATTCACGCTTCACCTACCTCCTGACAATATAACCAGCTGCACCTTTTAATTTAAATGGACTAATAATAATCGTATCAAAGAAACTCTTTTTTTCAGAGGCAAAAAGAAGCGGCAGCTCATTTTCTATATCAAAAAAAGTTGTTTGATGTTTCAAACTTTCAAGAACAACAAATGAATCTTTAAAAAAAATATGGTCAACATAAATTACTCCTTGAGATAAATTCAAATTAAAAAGAACTATACCTACCGGGAAGATGAAGTAGGCGTAAATCCACGATCATCCCGTTTAAGAAAATCGTGTGCTAACATTTCCTTCCTGTTCTGAGCAACAGTTTTACCTAACGACAAATGTAAACAGTAATGGGCGTACTGCAATGGCAGTAGCCAGTAGTATTTTAGTCTTCTTCCAACAAATTCGTAATGGTTTTCTAAATAATAGTTAAAATAATTATGGCCAGTTCAAAAAACAGAAGCAAAGAAAGCAGAAAAAAAAAACAAACAAAAATAAAATGAAACAAATAAACAGTAACAATTATGAAAAATCAACAACGTCTAATCAGTTCATATAACTTGTACATAACAAACGGCTCTAATTAATTTTACAAATTAAGACAAATAAACAGGATATGAACATTTATGCAGTACAGTAAATCAGAAAAAACAATTTGACTAAAATAACCAACAGTCAAAGGCGATGACAATTTATATGAATATTACCTGCCACGCTTTGGCATAGCCCGAGATATTACTACTTGATGGCACTAATGCAATGCAATTTGTTTTGCGATGTATTGAAGACGGGTTCAATTCAGTGTCTATTTGTGTGTATAACGGTGACAAAAAAGGCAGAATTGGGCAAATTGCCAAAGCCGAAGGTTAGTTGGAAGTTGTTTGTAGCTTACGAAAAAATTTTTCTATACTACTATTATTCAGATTCAGTTTACCAGTTTGATCTCTGTCATACCCAGATGGTGATTATTTTAACGGCAATTTATCTTTCTACTGTTGATAGTTGTTAAAAATGTTGAAGTAAAAAGAGAAGAGAAACCAAATTTTAGTGCTTTTAAATGTTGCAGTTCTGTAAGATTTGCCTTTCTAACGTAACTTTTAATAAGTGTTTTTCTTCATGAGCAACAAAACATTTCAGTATTTTGCCTAGCCTTATCCTAAACACTTCTGTATCTGTACCTAACGGTACAATGTTGTTATTCAATGCTATCAATAAATTTGTCACATTTAATATTTAAAATAACAAAAGGATGAGGGCAATAAAGGTATTTATTTATTTTTTTCCCTTTCGTCATTTTTATTACCACTATTCCTGTTTCCGCAGTAACTTTAAAGTTTTCAAATGTTCAGCACACAACTCACCATCACGATGAGACAGGAGTGTTCAGGATGGGAAAAAAGTGAAGTAAAAGACAATTTTTTTTTTTTAAATTGTTGGAAGATAATATTAGCATGCTGATACAACAGTGAAAATTTAATTCACTTGAACAAGTACTGAATAATAGCTTTTAATTTTAACTTTTTGCTTTGTTGAAATCCTTATTTTTTGAAAACTTAAACTGCGTTTAATAACAGCAAAAAAAGCAAAATTGAGCGAAGCTTAACGGTTTGCTAGAAAAAAAAATCTGGAAAAAGCTTTTGAAAAGAAATGGAGGGGAATGTTTTTATAATGTATATTAAAGCTTCATGCAGAAGTTCCGTTTTAGACCAATGGTTGTCGAAGCTTTGTACACCTGTGTCGCCGTACCAGGAAGCGCTGAATAACTATGAAGAACTGACAGCATTTAAGAAAACCTCGTTTTTCGACGTGGATAAAAATTAGGGCAAAAAAAGGATCGCGTGTGATTTTTATACTCAGCAATGTATCGACAAACATTTCTGAATTGAATCCCAATGACAAATCTTAAAATGTAGTTACCATTTTAGATGCATTGGGCCTGCTGAATCATTTATTTTTTCAAAGTAAAAATCATCGTTTTTTCACATTATTTTTGAATTTATAAAATTCTTTCCCTTTCCTCGTCCCTTTCTTTTTTTTAACGATAGAAAAAATTTAATGTCCCAAGATTGTATAATTTATGAACAAAAACTTTGAACTAAAAAAGAAAAAATACTTAGTTTGGTCAGCGAAAACCCAATACAACTCAGACATACAAGTTTCTGAATGCATATAAATTAGAAAAATTGGTCTAAATTACACAGTGTTCCTGTAATATTCGTTCTGTAAAACATTAATCCTTTACGTCAAAACTGTTTGTATGAAAATGGTACTGTTACGAATTACGAATTTATTTCTACTTATCTGCACATTAGCGTTTAGCGATCAACTATGCACTTGTTAATTGTAAGATTGCAAAGTTAGCACAAATGATGAAAATTTAACGATAAACGGTAAAACAACTATATCCCTCTAGAAATGCAAAGTCATTAGAAATGAATAGTGGGTTAAGTGTACGACAAAAGCAGATTTTAAACTCACATTGTGAAAACGCTTTTTCCGTACCATATGCGTGAAATTCACTTATATCCAGCGAACTAAAAGGATACTTTGCAAAACAATCAGTGATCAATTCAAACTTTACTTAACACAACTTTATGTACGCCTTTAACTGTTGCTCATATTTTACGCGCCAACAGAGCACTTCGTAAAGCATCTCTGCTGTATCTCTTTTGAGGGTCCAGCGAGTTTATTATCTAACTGCAAAGAACATGAATCAAT